TATATATATATATATCACAAAAGAGGAAATTCGCTCTGCATTTGCTGTGAACGAGCAAAGAGAAATGTTGCAAAAGATGACTCGACGAAGAAGCAGCATTGAGGCGCATCACCCGACGATTATGTCGCTCTTCTCGATCTCTGATATTCAAAAATCGACGCCTTCTGGCTCTAAGAAATATCGACTCTGGCTCACTTTCATTTTCTGAAATACTGGACAGCGATAACTTGGTTTATTACTACTGCATATTTTTCAAAAGCTCTAGTGTTCTTTTTCTCCGTCTCTTTCATCCTTTCCATTCTGTAATGATTACACGTTGTATCTATTACAGATTACACAGCTCGCCTTACTGAGGGCCAGTGGACTAAGCGGTATCTATGAAAAAGCGACCACTTCGATGGCGATCAAGCAAAACGGTGTGGAGGCGGCAATGCAGACAGCCACTGCAATCTCAGAAGCACGCATTACCTTGAAAAATACCCATTTTTTCATTCTTATGGACAAAAGTAGAAAAAAACAAACAAACCCGAGAGTGAATTATCCCCTTTAGCTTCCCTACGCCTTCTCAGAGTAAGCAGCTGTAGTCTGAAAGTGGCCGTCCAACGGACATTAAGTGCTTGAACTTTTTTCAAGCGTACGTGCTTCCTGTCGCTGCTCGTTAGTTCATCAATTTTATCACGTAATCTCTGAAAAAATTATTTAATCAGAGAAATCATTTAATAAACTAACCCTAATTATTCAAGGCCAACCGTGCAGAAAAAAGGCAAAAAAAAAAATAAGTCTAGGAAATGCTGATTTCAGGCTTGAATACTCTAGAGGATTACAGACTAGGAAATTAATGTATAATCTTTAATTTTTTTTTTGAAAATTATAACTGGCTGATAAGCTAATAACAAAAGAAAATGGAATCTGGCAAAAGCATTATCGACAAGAAGTTGCACGTGCGTGAAACTGCAACTGTATAAGAATCAAACTTATCACTGGATGACAGTATTTCGGCTAATCTGATTATCGCATGATTGTAGCATGAAAGTAATATGAAGAACGTAGAAAGGAAGGCAAGAATAGAACGAACTATGTAATGCAAGCAGAAATATTGCTGGTACAAGAAAAATAAGAACGAGAGAGTTAAGACGTTTCGGTCCATGAAGTCATATAGGTTGTGTGTGTCTTATCGCAACAGCCAGCATGCTCCAGCAGATAATATCTGAGGCTTTGTATTCGGTTGACTTCATCAACGAAGTTATTAAGAAAAAGCAGCTCAGAAAAAAAACGCTGAACTGATTGTGCAGACAGAATGAGAGATAGCAGACAAACAAAACGGACTGTGGACTAGTGCCCAGGCAATGTTATGCCACCTGTATGAATGCTCAGAACAGCGGAACTGAAAAATTTAGCAGTGTTGATAACTGATTAATAACATTCATAACTCTAGCAGAGCGATTTTTGAGTGCTGGGAGCTCAAGATTAAGCAAAACTGGGAAATCTCTAATTCAGTAAGGAACCTACGTCTTATTTTGGACGAAAACATGACTTTTCAAAAATATTTCATTAAGTTTTAGTGTTCGTATACTCAAATTTTGCTAGTACCATCTGTTTGTGCACATATTAAACGTTTGATGTTGTTAAACTGCTACTAGAAGCATCAGTAACAAGAAAATTATGGCTGCACCCAAGAAATTACTAGAACAGCGGAACTGAAAGATTTAGCAGTGTTGATAACTGATTCATAACTCTAGCAGAGCGATTTTTAAACTACGGCATTTTGACCATATCAGTTATTTTAAAGCTAACAGCAATATTTCTGATCCAGCTGATCAAGTTTCGAAAATCTTATTAAGCGAATTTTAGCTTAAATAAAAATGAGTGATTATATGAACAGTTTGAGAGAGCGAACTACTCACAGCAGAACTGGGTCCTTCAAATCATTCAGTTTCAACAGAGTATCAAAGCAGGTATGTAGCTGATTTCAAGTATGTACCTATAAAAGCAAGCAACTCGGTAACAGCGAGCCTTCTCGAATTTTCATTCAGTGGACGCTGTATCGCACAATGCCTTAACTTACCCTGTTGTGAGCAACAAGCATTTCGATGCGATGCTTCAGCATAATTATTGGTTGTGTTTCATCCATCGGTCGTGACTGCAATGCTTTCGTAAGTTCGGTCCGCAGATGTCGATTGATTTGCTCCAGCTGTTGCACTGTTTCCGAAAATTCTTTACTCTCTTCCGTAACCCGTGCGCAGTGACGTTCGACCAACTGCAGTCGTGTACGACAAGACGATTCACTCTGCCGAAGGCGGCCAAGCTCTTCCTCAGCCTAGGAAAAACTGTTTCTAAATTTTGCCCCATTCAGATAGCCTCTCCTTCTATTTGTCGAGAGAAAAATGATTAAAAAATCGACAAACATGAATTTCTATCAATGAACTTTTCGCATTCACTATGAAGTGACCGGAATGATAGCATTTCACTAACAGTAACCCCCACTGCCAATGAATTAGTTGCCTCCCATCTGAGAGCTGATATTTTTTAAGATTATCTTTAAGCAACTTGGAAAAACTGGTCTGCACCATGCGAAAGCTGGGCGGAAATTAGCAGTTACTCTTATTTTGGTTAAACTTCAGCTGCAGATGGTATACAGAAATGCTGTAGATTGGTGCAAATTTGACAGCGTCGATGACTTTCTCAAACAGTCAAATCCGAAAGACCGCCCCACCGCTTTATAACGCATTGAAGGCAATGATGTACAAATGCGAAAAGTGGTCATTGACGAAAGCAAAATAACTGGCCAACGCACGAGCTGCCCGTGCGAAGATGCGTTTTTTTGCAGAGTTCCCCGCAATTTTTGTCACCATCGGAATCGGTTTTTTCGGCAAATGCTTCAAG